CAATCTTAGGTCAGATATAGAAAGTGATTAATACAATACATACACCAAGAAGGTATGTTACTTACACAATAAGGCTTTTAAGGGAGAGCTCCCAAGCAGGTCCAAAAATGGCTTGAGAGAGCAAGAAACGGAAGGTGGCTTGGGTTTTATATGGTGACTGGAGATGGGCTAAGCTGACTGTATCAGTGCAAAGGGAGGGAGCATCTGGTCATTTTCTACTACTTTGCCCAGATGTGGGGCAGAAGGCAAAGAGAAAGGGGTAAAACTTGGAAGATATAAGCAATCAAACATCAAAATGAAGTCAGAATCTATTACAAGATACATGATGAGATGTTCAAAATATTTTGTTATTAGAGAAACACAAATTAAATCAATAATTACTATGCACAAAAAAGGGACCACATACTAAACCTGACAAGCTCAGTGGAGGCCCACATTGTGGGCCTTGCAAATCCAAAGGCCAAAGTAACCACACAGAGTAGTCTGAACATAAAACTTCCTAACTAAAAGCAAGTCGTAGTGGGTAGTCACATCTTAGACCTGTAGCTTCCTTGACAAAGGTCAGTCTTTTAACTTTGAAACTGTCTATTGTCTCTATGCATCTAAGGTAACATACTTTAAAAATGTCAGACTAATATTTTCCAGACTTCTCGAAGGCACAACTGCTGGCACCAGAGCATGAAACCACATAATTATCTTGTTGTCAACAGATCATCTCTATGATCTATAAATGTTAACTATCCTATACCCACCAGTGTAAAGGAAGTATGTGTCTCTCCATTTTGCTTTTTATCCAATCTGAGATTCCCCACTTCACTTCTCCTGCCTCCCTACTCTACCACCAATGAATTTCATGTAACCCCTCTTATGTCTCCTCCTTTGATTCTCATGTATGAAACAAGCTGCAAAACTGCCATTCTCAGGAGCAATATCTCAATCCATTAAGATTTTGCTTTCCAGCAATTGTCATTAGTTTGGCTCAAATAAACTCTTATAAGGCATTTAAGTAGTTCGGACGTTACTTCATCAACATTTACTTAGCAGAGTCAGCAGGATTCCCAAGAAGCTCACCCAGGACCACTCTGTGGACCTAGACTGGTGCTAGGTACCAGCAGGAACCCACTGAGTCCTACTAGCTTCCTGCTCCACATCAGGTGAACTCAAGTGTGTTATCTCTTGGAATCCAGGACTTTCCCTTTGCTTATTATGGTAGAGGGTCTGACTTTACCTAAGCTGTTCTTTAAAATCCTCAAGGTGGCACTAATGGACAAAAGCTGAAGTGGGCAGCTGGTTTTAATTTCCACTTTTCAATGGAAATTTCTTACTGTGAGTCTGAATAAAGCTTTTTGTTGGAGAAAGGAGACTCTGAACTTGTTCAGCTCTGAAGATAAGGACATTTACTCCCTCCAGCTCCAATATCCGGTATTCTTAGGTGACTAAATATCTAAGTGGAGATGTCTGAGGGTACCCCTCAAGTTGAGCAGGGCCCCAATGGGAATTCCAACAAAACTGTTATTAAATAATTGACTTATCTGGGATGCATACATAAAGGCTGGTTACCTAGCACTCTGAGTCCTCACCATTGTATTAGAGGTATTAGACAACCAGGAAGGGAAACTAAGACATTTGAGAGGTGACAGCTCCTTGGAGCTCAACCCATAAGCATCACACTTCAATCCAACACACAATATCTCTAGAAATTTGTTCAGACTCTGCAGATCTCCAGAGGAAAACAAAAATTAACATGGGAAATCATGTCTCTAAGGTCCTAAACTCCAAGAACCTCAGCGCCACCCCACTTAATACTCCCGCAGGCTATATGTATAATTCGTATGGAAGCTCAATTTGCAAGTATCTATAGGAATGGGCAAATCTAACTAAAAGTGGTATCAGCTTGAGATGGTCAAAGTGGGGAATTTTTGATACCTCTAAATTGATTTTTCTGCACACTCAATTAGAAAAAGCTGGCTCTATAATTAAAAACTGAATGAATGGGAAGCTTATCTTGATTGGAAGTTAGAAGCTTCTAGGAAGAAGACAGATAAATTCTCTACTGGAAGTTAATAAGAAAATTGTAGAGACTGTCTCTGAACTAAAGGCTTCTGAAGCTGATAAATGCCAACACCCCATTCCTCCCCCATCTCCAGCTGCTCCACTATATTCTTTGCTTTCTGAGCTTCCTTGTCCTGACTTGCCCTCCTCTTCCCTTTTCCTCCCTCTTCTATTTCCTCTATATCTCCTCTACCACCACTCCCTATTGACCTAGGGGAAACAGAATAGAAATCTAGAACAAGATAGACGAGGAAAACAACAGAAATTGTGGTAGCTCCTTTTAAGGATATGCCAGTCTCACACAGAGGAGAACCAGCAATTGCGTACATTCCTTGGACAAGAACGGAATTAAGGAATCTAACTAAAGATTTCCCAACCCTCTCTAGAACTGATGGGTTTGCAATGGAATCTGATTTAACTGTTAGAACATATGATACTTGCTATTCTGATCTATTCTAATTATTACACCTACTGGTTTCTGAGAGCTAAGCAATAGAATAGCTAAATAAAGTTCACTAAGAAACAGAGAAACAAAACAGGAAAAATGTAGGGAATTAGCCTGTTGGCTTTACCAAGCCATATCTGAGATTTTTCCCAAGAAAATGAACTGGATCAAGATTCAGCAAAAAACTTTTCAAAAAAACTTTCAAACAATACTCAGGTCCGATTCCAAACAATTTTAAGGATCATCAAAATGATCTCTTACTAAATTTGGAATGTTGGGAAGGACTAGATGAAGAGCTTGTAACTCTGATTAATCAACATAAATTAAACTAGCTGACCAAACATACAACTGGCAATTCTGGCTCATCGACAATCTAAAACTACCCAAAAGAAAGAATATGAAGCTGCCAAAATCATGAATTTAAGCTCCAGCAATTAAGCAATCAGGTCAGACACCCCCCAGGGTCTCTTAGACAAGGGCAGAGAGGAAGTCTGTTTTTATTGTAGAAAGCCAGGCAATCTTAAGAAGAAGGATTGTAGAAAACTGAAATGGGTTTTAGAAAAAAAGAAAAGAAACTAAGCAAGCATGGGGCTGCTCCTGGGACTAGGAGAGGACATTTCCCCTTCTCCTTAGGAATACTTTAAGAGAAACTAAAATTACCATAGAAGGGGAAATTACGAAGAGTCTTATAGATACTGGGGCTACTTTATCTGTTCTTAACCCTACCCAATTAGGTTGTCCTCTCCCTCGGAGTAAAGCTTCTGTACAAATGGCAGAAATATCTAATCAACCAATATCTGTTTTTAAATCAGAACCCATTTCCTTCCAAATAGGAAATATTATGGGGCAACACATATTTTAACTACTCAAATCTGCCCCAATTCAACTGATAGAGATCTTCTTGAAACCCATGAAGTTCATGTACCTTTTTTTCCCAGAAGGGTGAGTACGTTTAGAACTAAATGAATCAGATACTCAACCAATTGGGAAAATAATGATTTTAAAAGAACCTCCACAAGAGGAAACTAACCTTGATACTGAACATTTGTTGCAGGATGTTCCAAAGCAAACTTGGGCCTTTTCCAGTAGAGATATTGGCAAGGTTAAGTCAGCCACTCCTATTAAAATGATTATTGACAATACTTTGCATCTACCTAATATTCACCAATATCCTTTAAGACCTGTAGCACTTTGCTGGAATTAAACCCATTATACAAGATTACTTAAAAGGGGGCTTATAATTCCATATATGAGCCCCTGCATTCTCCTATCCTTCCTGTAAATAAACCAAATGGAAAAGGATGGAGATTTGTACAAGATCTCAGAGCTGTAAATAAAATGGTTATTCCCAGACATCTTGTGGTTCCAAATCCACATACCCTATTATCTGCCATTCCTGTGGACTGCCGATATTTTTCAGTGATAGATTATGTAGTGCCTTTTTCAGCATTCCTGTAGAAACACAGTCAATATCTCTTTGCCTTCACCTGGGAAGATCACCAATTTACTTGGACTGTAAACCCCAGGAATATGCACAGCCCTACCTATTTCTCAGATACTAAAAGCTGATTTGAATGATGCTGATTTTCCCAGAGATTCCATTCTAATCCAATATGTGGAAGGTTTATTTTTATGCTCTAGGACAACACTAGACTCTCAAAAGGACACAGTTTATCTTTTACAACAGCTAGCTATAAAAGTTCTTAAAGGACAAGCTTCAATTTCATTTGCCCCAAGTGAAATATCTTCACTATTTCATATCTAACTGATTAACCCTGAAAGAATCAGAGGAATTCAAACTTTTCCTCTTCCAAAAACAAGAAAACAGCTTAGAGGATTCATGGGTCTAAAGTCGCAATTGGGTTTCAAATTTTTCATTAATTGCCCAGCCACTAAGTCTTATTACAAATCAGATTGATCTGACCCAATTCAATGGAACCCAGAAGAGAAACAAGCTGCAGAAGCTCTAAAGGAAGAATTATCTAAAACTCCTGCTTTGGGACATGCTAATTATAAACTTCATTTCTTCCTTTTCATACATGAAAATAAGGAAATACTTTCGGAGTTCTAACTCAGAAACAGGGAGATCGTCATAGACCTATAGGATATTATAGCCAGTAATTAGACTCAGTAGCAAGAGGGCTTCTCTCTGCATGAGGGCCATCTCTGGTACAGCCATGCTATGCAAACAAACAGAAGGATAGTTAGTTATGGGCTCTCCTTTAACTATTTATGTTTCTCATTCTGCTAAATCTTTATTGAACTCTTATTGTGGTGGCTGAAAAATGACTACTTGAGATTTATTACTTGTAGGAAATTACTGTTTGACTATTGCCATGGGAACAAAAGGCTTTTGATCATAGAGATATAACATTCTGATAACAAGCTTTCTGCTTCTGTACTCCCCGCTTGCACACCCCGACCTATAGGTTGACAGGTAGTGAATAGGAGAAAAACAGACCTTTCTGTTCAAACAGAATGAAGAATGGGATTTGGGGCTTTAAAATCCTGTATCTCTAATTTTGGGGCTGCTTAATTTGGGGTCTGCGTACCCCTAGCAGACCCAGCTGGCTGAATAAAGTGTGTGATTCCTATGACTCACTGATTCCTGGTGGTCCATGTGTCTATCGGGGGCTGGCAGGTACAACATTTGGAGGCCCCAGCGAGATCTCAGGGAGTGGCCCTGGGATCTAAGACCGGATCAGCCTCCGAAGCAGTTGCTGTCCCTGTTACGGATTCAAAGAGGTAGCCAACCTGAGATGTTCCAGGGCCCTTAAATGCTGTGACAGGTCTGTACAATTGTCAAGGATGCAAACTTTAGGACACACTCTTTGTTCCTGGTCCCAACGGGAATCTGGAATCTCTGAGGCCTCGGTGTCTGGATAAAAGGTACCTTCTTGTTTCTGTTGATCGGTCAGTGGGGTCCACGGAGAGACTGGACGCAGTCATATCTCCCGGACCGTGGCCAGGCCGCGGGACACCGCCTCCTGTGCCCTGTTGTCGAGTTCTGTTTATTGTCTCTGGTCTTGTCTAGGTTGTAGGTGGCGGACTTCTCTGGGTCCACCTACACACCGGTAATTGTTCTTGTTTGAGTGTTTGTTTTTGTCGTAGTGTTTGTTTTATGTTTTCTGCGCAAAGCAATGGGGGGAAGCCTGAGTTCACAGAAGACACCCTTGGGTTGTCTCCTGCGACATTTCAGAGAAGGGTTTGTAGAAGGAGCTGACTATGGCATAAAGTTTTCTCCAGGCAGACTAAGAACATTGTGTGAAGTTGAGTGGCCATCTTTTGGTGTAAACTGGCCTCCAGAGGGTTCCTTTGACAAGGGTTTGGTGAGGAATGTTTGGAAGATTGTCACGGGAGACCCGGGACACCCTGATTAGTTTCTCTACATTGATCAGTGGTTAAATCTTGTTCAGAACCCCCCTCCTTGGCTCCGCTGGTGTGCCCTCTCTCTAGGGGTGTGAGTTTTAGTTGTGGGTACCCCTAAACATGCAGCAACTGAAACTCCAAAACAGCCCAGTCCCTCAGTCCTCCAATCTCCACTGGAGGACCATGACCTTCCCCCACCCTATAATCCAGGACAACAGAGGCCCAATAGCACCGCCTCACCTCCCCAGACACGAGCAGGTAACCCTTATGGGCCTCCTGCTCCCACTCCGGGCAAGGCACCGGCAGATACCACTACCCCGGCCATTCTTCCCTTGCGAGAAGCACTACCCCAGGGGCATCCTAATGACAGGCCCTTTATGGTTTACATTCCTTTCTCGACTAGTGACCTGTACAACTGGAAGGCACAGAATATGCCTTTCTCTGAGAAACCTCAAGCATTGATGGGACTCTTAGAGAGTGTCTTTCAGACTCACCGCCCCACCTGGGATGATTGCCAACAGCTTTTAGTTACCCTCTTCACTGCAGAAGAACATGGGCGCATACGGGCGGAAGCACAAAAGATAGCTGTGGAAGGGAGGAGGGTTGAGGAAACATGGGAACAGATTGAGGAGGAATTTCCCTCCACCTGCCCGGACTGGGGACACAATTCTCAGGCAAGGAGAATGGCATTAGATCGGTACCACCAGATTCTAATTGGGGGAATTAGGATAGCTGCTCGTCAGCCAACTAACCTTTCTAAGGTAACTGAAGTTATACAGGGACCTCAGG